GACCAACTATATCTTTCATCCCTGTAATTGATCCCTCTATGAGTCATATAAATTGGTTAACTAAGAAAAGCTGTAAAAAACTTAAATTGGATTTTAGCTTTTGTTTGTAAAACTTTGTGCCCTTTTGTTTTATTAATAGCATATTACTTTGTTTGTTTTTTTTATATTTGTTTAAGTGTGTTTCATAATTGTCAGTGTTTTGTTATTTCAAGTTATGTCATTTATGCTTTATCTTTCTACCTTAGAACATTGAACACAATGTCTTATTTTAGTTGGGGGGAAAGGGTAATAGTTGACATAAAAAAAACTCTGTTTTTGCTATTATTAAAACCATTTGACAAAACTGTTATTAGGATGGCCGAGTAAGGAGGAATTTTATTGACTCTTAAGACGCATCTTGATTAATATTTTTCAATTGTTATTTGCAATATTCATAACAAGGTCTATCACACACTTCTCATGAAATATTCAAATTTACAAACTCTCACATTATTATTACTTGATTCTGTGTATATACTCATTTAATAAGTATTCTTAAATCTTTATTTTCACACACACACTTTAACATATGATTGTGGGTTGTATATTGGATTATTACATTAATTATGTTCTTTTGTTAAAGGTAACAACTAAGAGAAATGGATAGTATATAATTTAAAAAAAAAAACAAAAACAAAAACAAATTGATAATATTGATGATGATAAAAGCATAAATAAATTTAATTTCGTAGCCTCATTAATCTAAGCTATTAAGCCCAAATGGGACACTTAATACCTTAAAGTCAGCTGACTTGAGAGCTATTGGCCCAAAACTTGTTACGTGGGTTAAGGAGAAAAGCTTAACAAAATCAAACATTACATCATCTACGTATCAATATCTGCAACTTGAGTTACTAAGCTCGTTGGGGTGTTTTCACATCTAATGCCCTAAGACCAACTAATTTAGGAGTTATTAACTTGAAGCTCGTTATATGTGTTAAAGATGCATTGTGTTTTAAGTTATATGTATATATATTTAAAAAAGATTAAAAAAAAAGGATAATAATCTCAATCCAAGAAAGTTAACCAAACATAATGTCTTGTTTTAGTTGGGGGGAAAGGGTAATAGTTGACATAAAAAAAACTCTGTTTTTGCTATTATTAAAACCATTTGACAAAACTGTTATTAGGATGGCCGAGTAAGGAGGAATTTTATTGACTCTTAAGACGCATCTTGATTAATATTTTTCAATTGTTATTTGCAATATTCATAACAAGGTCTATCACACACTTCTCATGAAATATTCAAATTTACAAACTCTCACATTATTATTACTTGATTCTGTTTATATACTCATTTAATAAGTATTCTTAAATCTTTATTTTCAGACACACACTTTAACATATGATTGTGGGTTGTATATTGGATTATTACATTAATTATGTTCTTTTGTTAAAGGTAACAACTAAGAGAAATGGATAGTATATAATTTAAAAAAAAAACAAAAACAAAAACAAATTGATAATATTGATGATAATAAAAGCATAAATAAATTTAATTTCGTAGCCTCATTAATCTAAGCAATTAAGCCCAAAGGGGACACTTAATACCTTAAAGTCAGCTAACTTGAGAGCTATTGGCCCAAAACTTGTTACGTGGGTTAAGGAGAAAAGCTTAACAAAATCAAACATTGCATCATCTATGTATCAGTATCTGCAACTTGAGTTACTAAACTCGTTGTGGTGTTTTCACACCTAATGCCCTAAGACCAACTGATCTAGGAGTCATTAACCTGAAGCTTGTTATATGTGTTAAAGATGCATTGTGTTTTAGGTTATATGTATATATATTTAAAAAAGATTAAAAAAAATGGATAATAATCTCAACCCAAGAAAGTTAACCTTAAACATTAGAATAAAATTTTTTTTTTCTAGAAAAGTCCTATAACTATGTGTTGATATATTGAGTACAAAAGAAATGTTTATTAATATCTTGTTTAAGAAGTATAAAGCAGATATATAAATTTAATGAGAGTTTGTTTATTTGGATAGATTAATAAAAATTGAATGATGAATGCCTTGCTTTGTGGAATTTGCAAATTATTTTTTTATTTTAACGCTTTGATTACTGGGGATTAGTAATAAGATAATTGAGGGTGTGATTAGTACTTAAAAGTGTATTTTTATCAAGGTTTTATATCTTAATATTGCACTTAAAATATCATTAAATTCCATAATTTAAGCATGTTTTATAACAACATACCTAATAAATATACGACACCTTTAATTTATGATAAATATTCATCTTAAATGCAGGTCTATCACATATATAAATGTTGATTGATGGGTTTAACTATTGAAATTGAGAAGATAAAAAGAGAGCTAAGTTTAGAAAAGAGATGTTGATTCAGTTTAAATAATTTATATATCTGATTTGAACTTTTTTTGTGTATGATTTCTAATTGAGTAATAAAGAGAGTTTATATTATACTTGTTTGAAATACTATTAGTGGATCCTCTAACCTTAACAAATATTTTTATCATTATTTGATCTTCAAATTAATATATTTTTATCATTATTTGATCTTCAAATTAATCTTATATTTCAAAGTCCTATCATCATCATCATCATCATCATTTATAACTCAAAGTCCTATCATCATCATCATCATTTATAATTTATATAGTTAACCTTTCTATGGTTTCGATTTCGATCTTATCAAATTATTTATTATTTCCACACTTGAAAAAAAATATTAATTTTTTAATTATATCACTTAAATATTAATAGCTTTGGGCCAGAGCACTTATGGCCTGGAATCCACTTGTTACACCTGAAACAAAACCTATACTCACCTTTTTTTTCTTTTAATTAAGCATAATTCTACATAGTAATGCTAGATTGTCTATATGGCCTTCTTGAACTCTCTGCCCATAACTTAATAGAATTTAAATTAACATCAGGTCTCCAATTAGGCCAACCCATAAACGACAGTTAAGTTAGGCAGCTTAAACCCAGTCTAACCTGTTATTTTAATTTTTTTTTTTTAAAAAAAAACAACTTAACTTGGGGGCCTCCGATTGCCACTTGACCTTATTTGAAATGACTTCAAATTAGGACTTGTAATTCTCCATCGTGGTCATTTATCTTAAAGAAATTAATTATTTCACATGATCATCATAGAAAGACTCTCCAAAATAAATTTGTATAGCTTTTACCAGCGACTCCCAACTTGTCATTGCTCTTGTCTCGTCCATTTCTTGGAACCATACGATCATTTTCCCCTCAATGTGAGAACTAGCCATGAACAATCTATGTTGTGGATGAGTATTATAATAATTAAAGGAATGGTTTTCCTTGTACTCCCAACCCACGGGATCTTCCCTATTAAACCTCGGGAAAATCCAATATGATCGTTCTGAACTGAATCTACTGGTCATTTGGTGGCTCCATCTCTTGTTGGTGGTGCCTATTAATTGAAGTGATGGGGTTGTTAGGTGGTGAATCCACTAGTCTCTTCCCTTAGCCTTTGCAATATGATCTACTTTGGTTGAAATTGTTTTAGTTGTTGCACTAGATCCTCAAGTACCATCTGTTGTATATGTTGCTTCTTTTATTGTTGCTTCATCCCCACTACTGCTTCAATTAATTGAGACATGTGTGATCCATTTGCCATTATCGGTAGCTCTAATACCAAGTTATAATAAATCTCATTTCTATATATTAAAGCTGTGGATTTTATAATTGAATTTTCTAAAAGGATTCAGGTTATTTTATTAAAATGAGGATTTAAGAGATAACAATGAATTGAATTGAAATTTAGGAACTAAGAGCTTAATTGCAAAAACTAAGATAAAAAAAGTTCTAGGCATATTCGGAGGTAGCCCGGGCCTCCAAGTTCAAAACTAAAAGTTTATAAATAATTCATTGCATGCTATTCTTAAATCTCTTAAAACTATTTATAATGGAAATTGCTAGCATTTTATTTAAATTTAAAAGACCAATTCTTTTTATTGAATTATAGTTGGGGTCCTCGATTAACTAAAGACTAATTCTTTGCTGGTTCGAACACTGCTGTTTTCCTTTGCATAAATATCTGGTTCCACGCACCATTGTTTGTAACATTAGCATCATCCTGTGGTGGCATTTTGACTGTTCACTCTCTTATCTTCTCTCCATCTGTCTGTCTTGCCCTCTCAAATATCTTTCGAAGAACAGTAGTCCTAATTCTTTGTTCTCTCCATCTGTCTGTCTTACCCTATGAAATGTCTTTCAAAGACAACAATAGTCCTCATTCTTCGTTCTTGCAAGAAGATATGATGCCAGCCCTAGGCATACTCGGTGACTTATTCCCAACCCTAGGGAAATCAGCAACTTCAATCCCCATGCCTATTTACATACTCGGTGACTTATTCCCAACCCTAGGCATATACTTGTTGCCTGAGGCTTGGTCCTCGTATACGCCTCCAACATCGTGCACCTGTCTGCACGAGTGTTTTGGATTTGCATAGTCCGGTCTTGCGTATTAGGGGTTTACAGGTTTTGATATAAATGGTCATTATCTATTTCTTCCGAACACATGCCACTATAATTTCGAGACTTGAGTGCTTCTCAAGACTAGGCGTCAACAGAAAACCCTAGAAAAAATTGAACCATCTACGTCATGAGACTCGTATCAAAATTACTCAAAAGTCATGGCAAAGAAGTACAAATATGCGCGGGTTAGATAATTATCTGAATATTTTGGTTGAATCTCCTCCCACAAAATGCTAACACTTGCTTCCATGATGAGACACTTCTTTTCTACAACACAACAGAAAGAAATCCTCTAAAGTCACGAACACAAAATAACATGAAAGCAGCGATACCACTAACTCCCAATGATATGTCCCAACTGTCAACAAATCGCCGTCCATCCTCCTCTAGCTCAAAACAGCATCTAAAGCATGAAGAATATTCAGAGCAAAGGCCCTATCATGGCGTCATCTTCAAAGACTATAAGAGACATGGAGAAATAATTAAAAAAAAAAAAAAAGTCCTTCTCAAGGCACAGTTGAATGTGACAAGAAATGTTACATCTCATTCTCCTGGGAAGAACAAAAAACTTTGGAATCTCTACCATGTCATGTCTTCATGTATAAGTGCCTTCCTAGTTCCTACTCCCTATTCATTTGCTTCAGCACCATTCTCCACTGCTTGAGTCACACCGACTTCAGCTGGTCGAATAACTCTGTCATGGAGCATGTATCCTGCCTGTAAAGATACAACAAGGTATCATTTCAGTAACACTTTAAATCAAATAATAGTCACGAGCAACTGCGAATTTTCAGAAACAGCCAAAAAGGCTTTACAAATGCGATTAATAGTAATACCACATGCATCAGGTTTGGTCATAGAGAAAGGCAAGAAAAAAGTTACTAGTAACACTCCTCATCATTAATGTCAAATCTCACTTATAAACAATCTCCAATATATGATCCCATCCATGTTGGATTAGAATGAATCAAAGATTTTAACTCATAACCCCATACAATAGGATGAGTATGCTCAAAACCAAATTGGATTATAGATAATCTCCAACTGGGCCATCATCATAAAAAAAAAGTATGAGAACATGGCTTCTTTTCAAAATGGTCATGAAGGCAAACCTCAAATTTGAAATTGCATGACCTCCAGGGATAAAAGCATCATGTCAAATTAGCCAGAAGTAGGAAAGAAACTGAAAATGCAAAGAAAAGGGTCTGTCTGTTTCACCCTTCAATTTATGCTTTGGGTCTGTCTCTTCACACTTCACACATGGTTTCAAAATTCTCAGTTTGATAAAATGATTTAAGGGGAGAGTGACTCAGGATGGGAGGTGAGAGAGAGAGAGAGAGATTCTTTTTCAATTTAAAAGTATAAAGTTAATATAGCAAGTGTAACTGGTTTCCCGTGTTCCTTTCTAACTCTACTTACTACATGGCTTAATATTAAGGTGACTGTTGCGAAAAGCTGTCAACTGACCACTGCTAGCATTCCCCAAGAAATAATTCTAGTTGCAACAATGGAACAATAACAAAAAGAAACAATGAAAATCACATATCAATAACCAAATATTGTTTTCCAGTTGATGAAAAATAAAGAAACCGTATCAACAATAATTTCAATCAAATGGTTAACAGTGAGCTATATGGTTAATCAATAAAAGAGCTTGATTATATTCAATGAATACCTTGAGAACAGCAGCTACTGTCCCTGGAGGCTTAGAAGCATCTGGAACCTGGAATATTGCATTATGCCTATGTGGATCAAATGGCTCATTTGTTGGATCAAATTTCTCTACTCCATACTTCTTAAATATCTGAAATCCAAAACATCACCTGGTTGTTAGAGCAATGATTTAATACTAACGCAAAATGTATACATACAGAGAAGGCTGTGAGGTGAGGTGAGGTAATGGCTGATGATGTAACAAGAAATGTTACCTCTCCAAGCTGTTTCTCAGTCATTTCAACTCCTTCCAAAAGTGTCTTAAGGAGTGGCACTACCTGGGCAGTGTCATTAGAAACATCGATTTTTGAGAAATTGCCTTTGACAACTGATGAAGCTCTTCCCAAATTGTCTGCAACATCAAGTAGGCTCTTTGCAAAATTCTGAGGCACATATTTTGAGAACACATTCAGTTAAAATTCCAGTTACAAGAATAACCAAGAAGATAATTAATGAATCCACATTTCCAACAAAAAAAGAATGACAGGAAGGAAGAAAAGCATGCCGTCATTAGGTGAAGCTGACCTGTATGGCAAACTTTTTAGAGTTCTCTGCTTCACGTTTTGTTCTTTCCTTCACATTTTCCATTTCAGCATATGTGCGGAGAACTTTATCTTGCATTGTCTCAATCTCCTTATGCTTTGCTTCCAGGAGTTCCTCCTTCTCCGCCACAAGCTTCACCAAATCATCCATAGATAGATCACTCCCAGCCTCAGAATCTGAATCAGAATAGGCAGTTCGTTTAGTACCTCTCCTTCTTTTAACTGATCGGGATATGGTTTGTTGGGACTCTGAGTTGAAACCTGACTCTTTGGTCTCATGCAAAACTGAATCTTCTGTCTTATCAGAAAGGCCTGCACTTCCATTTGTTTTTCCTGACTCTGCATTTGTGGGATCACAGTTAGAGTCTACAGCACTCACCTGCTCCTTTTCAGTAGGCTCAGGAGATGCAGATGAAGTGAACCCAAAATTTTGAAAAGGAGAGGAGTTTAGTGCTGAATGATGAAACAGACACACCTTCCTTGTAATACACTGAAATAGGACATGCAAGTTATAAAACATTAAAACACTGAAGAAAAAATAAAAAGGGGATTTCAAACTAGTCAAGAAGCAATCAAATATTAAAAAACCCGAAGTACTTTGAAATGACTGAAAGTCAAATCCAATTATTTGTATTATGAAAGAAATATTAGTGGACACTTAACTAGATTAGAGGAAATAACACACATGTGCACACTAATTAGAAGTCATAAAACAACAATCATAAAAGGAACGATATTTCAACATAGAAAAAACGAGCTCCAACATTGACAATGTTGGATAGTAACTCCAGACTGCTCCCCTCCATAATCTGAGCCCAAAAAATCTAAATGGCACTGACAACACCCGCTACGATACCCACATATAACTTATTGCATGTTATAGACAATGTAATCAGATGTTTTAATTCAAGGTTAGTTCAATTAATTCAACAAAATAAATGAAATAAGAATAAAAACTCTTAATTAAAACCCCCAAATGATAGTAGAAAGGCAATTAGATTTTACTTGCTCTCTCAGTAAACTATTAGAACTTGCAAATTTGAAGCAAATGGTAACATGTAAACATTGGTCATTTCAAAATTAGATAATGGTACTGCTATCTCAATCTCAACTTCATGTCATAAAATTTCAGATTTCCTAAACCTTAGCAAAACCCAACCCATGAATAACAAAAACCAAAATGCACAAATAAAATCCTCATCTCAGTGATTGGAGTGAAAATCCTTAAACCCCAGGATAACCATAAACCCTAGGGGGGGGAAAAAGGAACCTATAAAAACCCAAATTCTGACATCAGATCGTTAAACCCTAGCAAAAACCTACAATGAAATCAGACACGGAAAGAAAAACCCAAAGAAAAAATGAAAATATTAAGAGTCAAATCCTTAAACCCTAGCAAAAACTTACCATGAAATCAATTCTAAATAATTTGAATAAAAAACCTTAAACCCTAGAAAATGAAAACTAAGAAAGAACAACCCATAAAAAACCAAATTCTGACGTCAGATCCTTAAACCCTAGCGAGAACCCTGAGGTGAAAATTGATTAGTAAAAAAGAACGCACCTTGCCAGGATATCCATACTCATGTACAAGAGAGTGAAAATAATGAGAGAGGATCGGCAAGAGGTGGTGATTATGGGACGGAGACGGAGAGTGTAGAACCAGAGGGCGTCGGCCGACGCTCCTCGAAAGGCGTGACAACATCCTGGTCATCAACATCCTTGCCTGGTATGGTAAATTATTACCAGAGAAAATGAGAGTATAAATATAAAGGGTATTAGGAAACTGAGAGAAATGGTAGACCGAGGAAAGTTCTAGGTTTTCTTTTCTTTCCGGCAAAATAAAAATAAAATAATGTCACGAATTCTATCCCTGTAATTGATTCAATTTTTCTATGGTACCTTCCAAGGTATTAAAATTAGTTTTCTAATACGTAAAAATACATTATAATACTTAAAAATACAATATAAATTCATATTGTAAAATTACAAGTAAATTTTTTAAAGTAATTATGTATTTATAATTTCAATCAAGAAAATAAATTATATTAAAATCTAATAAAATGAGTCAACATTATTATAATTAATAAGTTATCTAAATAAAATAAGAAAGATAGATAATGTCACAATCTTAGGTGTAAGGACACGCCAACGAGTCGCTACTAGGTAGTGGTATCATACAGATGCAGAGGCAACATATATGGGCAGTGTAGATTTTGATAGCGAGTATAACGGGTGCGTGCAAACAGCGAGTTAATGTTTCGCACCATGCTAGACTTAGACGATGGACTATTTAAGACATCTTCAGTTGCACATGAGAGCTGGCAACTTGGGAAATCAGTTTGGATGGTATGGTTGTCTTTGAAAGGGGCTGTCTAAAAAGAGTTAATTTGTCAAGAGACAATTTTACTTGTAACTTTTATTATATATATATGTATTATATAAAGCCTAAACGTGTGTAGCAGACAGATCAGATTGTGCATAGCGCGCACATATTATTATTGTGTATTCCTTTGTTGATGAATTAATAAATGTTAGGTTGGTTCCCGTAAATTGCTTGTGTTGTTATTGTGTTGTGTTTAATCATTGGCTCGTGTTCTTGATTACTGAAATTGTTAAGAGTTGTGGGAAAACCTTTGGGTGTGCGAAACACTTAGATTTTAAGCAAACACGGGTGACTTGGGAGAAAGGTTGAGTCTAGTAATGGGACTAAACTGCCACACTGGGATTAAGACACACTAGGATTAAGATTGGACAAAAATTTTATCCCCGTGATAAGTGGTATCATAGCCTTGGATTGTTCTGTTCGTAAAGTTGTTGTTTAATGTCAAATGCCATAAGGCATGGAGGTGATTCATGAAAGACTCACTCATATTGAAAGTGTTCTAGGTCCTGTGGTCGAAAACAAAAATCAAACTATGAATGACAAACTAGCATATATTGTGGAAATGGTAAAGAGGGTTGCGGGGCAGGACATGGATCTTGTGGTCGAGGTAAGTCACAAGATACGGGTTTTAGAGGGGGAGATTGCAGTGTTAAAGAAGGTAAGGTCCTGTGGTCGAAAACAAAAATCAAACTATGAATGACAAACTAGCATATATTGTGGAAATGGTAAAGAGGGTTGCAGGGCAGGACATAGATCTTGCGGTCGAGGTAAGTCACAAGATACAGGTTTTGGAGGGGGAGATTGCAGTGTTAAAGAAGGTAGTAGTGATTGTCCCCATAGGTGGTGGCACGTCTTACCAGAGGGCTATAGGGTAGGACATGGATCTTACGAATACAGGTTCTAAAGAGGGAGATTGCAATGTTAAAGAAGGTAGTAGTGACTATCCCCACAGATGGTGGCATGTTTAAACCTAGAGTACCAAAACCTAAGCAATTTGGTGGGGCAAGAAGTTCCAAAGAGTTGGAAGATTTTCTATAGGACATGGAGTAGTACTTCGGGGTGGCTAGGATTGGGACTGACAAACAATTAAACATCACAGTGATGTATTTTTCTAATGACGCCAAGCTATGGTGAAGGACTCGGATCAAGGATTATCTGAATGTTGGGTGTCCTAAGATTAAAACTTGGGATAGTTTGAAACAAAAGTTAAAAGAATAGTTCTTGTCAAACAACATGTCTTAGTTAGCTAGGGAAGATTTGAAGAAATTAAAGCAAGACAAATCGGTGAAGGATTACGTCAAAGATTTCTATTTTTTAATCCTAGACATAAAGAACATGTTTGAGGAAAATAAACTATTCAACTTTATATCAGGTTTACAACCTTGGGCACAAGCTGGGTTGCGGAGATAAAATGTCAAAGACTTGTTATCTGCCATTGTTGCCGCAGATAGTTTTGTCAACTTTAAGACGATGACGCAAGATGGTTTTATTGCTATCCCCTTGAAATTCAAGACTAGGGATAAGAGGGATGAAAAGAGAAAGAAAAAAAAGTTCGATGGGGGGAGGATACAAGCCTGGGATTGATAAGGGAAAGGGCAAGCAGGCTAATGTACAACAAAATAGAGACCCCAACAAGCCAAATGCAGGTTGTTTCATTTGTTATAGACCACGCTATGCAAGAGAATGCCCAAAAAAGGAAAGGTTGAATGCAATTCTTATGGGTGATAGTGAACAAGAGGAGATAGTCATGCACATCAACCCGATATGTGTACTAAATTGCTTAGTTACTAAGATGCAGGATTTGGTGGCAGAATCCAGCCTTGTCAAAACTAAGTTAACACAGTTTGATGTGTTGTGACAAGATAAGTCAGGTGCTGTGGATACTCTAGTATATGTTAAAATTAGAGTTAATGATAGGGAGATAATTGTTATGTTGAATTCTGGTGCTATGAATACATTTGTTGTCGATAAATTGGTGATGCAACTTCAATTGCATTTGAGTAACAGCTAGATATCGATGAAAGCAATGAATACCAAGGCGCAACGGATACTAGGCATGGCATATGGCATGCCTATGGTGCTAGATAAGTGGCAGGGAAAACAAGATTTGTTGGTGGTGACTTCGACGTCATTCTTGGCTTAGACTTTCTAAAAAGAGCTAAGATTGTGTTGATGCCTATTTTGGATGGAATTCTACTTGCAAATGAGTTATGTCCTTGTTTTATCCCTTGTCATAAGGCAATGATGGTTGAAAGCTGAAAGTAGGGAAGTAGCTTGGTTTCAGCCATTGCGATTAGCAAAGCCTTAAAGAAGGGTGGTGAAGTGTTCTTGGCAATAACCATGACTAAGGAGTTAAAACATGTTAGGGCAGTGCCTGAAGTTATTACTAGGTTATTGGAGGGGTATAGAGATGTGATGCCTCCAAAGTTGTTGAAAAAGCTTCCACTAAGGTGAGCTATTGATCATAAGATTGAACTTGTGCCTAAATTGACACCACTATTATAGCCTTCATATTGCATGTCCTTAAGGGAATTAGGTGAGAAATCAATTAATGGAATTGATTGATGCAGGTTTTTTTCAACCTTCAAAAGCTTCATACGATGCTCCTGTTTTACTTAGAAGAAGGTAGATGGTAGTTTATAGGTATGTATGGATTATCGAGCATTAAACAAGGTAAACAATCAAAAACAAATACCCTGTGTCGCTGATTCAAGACTTAACAAATTGAATGGGGTTTTGTTTTCATAAAGCTGGACTTGAGGTTAGGATACTAACAAGTTAGAGTTGCTGAGGGGGATGAGCATAAGACGACTTGCGTGATAAGGTATGAGTCATACGAGTTTATGGTTATGTCATTTGGCTTAACCAACACTCTAGCTACTTTTTGTAATTTAATGAATGATGTTCTTTATGAATTTTTTGATGAGTTTGTGATTGTCTATCTAGACGACATTGTTATTTTTAACCGATGTATGGATGAGCATGTGGTGCACTTGGATAAGGTGTTGTGTAGACTAAAAGAACATGAATTGTTTGTAAAGACGAAGAAGTGTGAGTTTGCTTGTTCTGAGATCACAGTCTTAAAGCATTTCGTGAGTTTTGGGTAGGTTCGAATGGATCCGAATAAGGTGTAGGCTATATGGGATTGGGTAGCCCCGCCGATGGTGATTGAGCTGAGGTTATTTTTAGGTTTGGCAAATTACTATCATCAGTTCATAGAGGATTACAGCAAGAAGGCAGCCTTTTTATTAGATTTGCTAAAGAAAAATAAGCTTCGGGACTAATCTAATGAATGCCAACTCGCATTCGATAAGCTGATAAGAGTTATAACATCTGCTCCAATGCTAAAACTGCTAGATTTTAGGAAATCTTTTAAGGTACACATTGATGCTTCAGACAAGATAGTAGGGGGTGTTCTAGTGCAGGAGGGTCATCTAGTGGCTTTCAAGAGTCGAAAGCTAAATAAGGCAAAATAGAGGTATTCCACACAGGAGAAAGAAATGAAAGTCATAGTGAAGTATGCTTTTTTCGTGGCTACACCATCATTATGCACAGCTGAAGTGGATGCTGGTTTGTTTTACAAATATATGGTGAAGTACTTTGGGGATTCCTTCAAATGTGGTTAGTAATCACGATGTGCAATTCACTAGATGATTTTGGACAGTGTTGTTTAGGTTAATAGGTACAAGGATAAAGTTCTCGATAGCCAATCATCCTTAGACGGATGGACAAACAAAGAGGATTAATGCATTGTTGGAGGAGTACCATTAACACTATGTGACAGCAACATAAAGAAACTAGCTTGAGTTGCTTAATAGTGCGCAATTCAATTATAATCTCCACAAATCATCAACAACGGATTTGAGTCCATTTAAGTTAGTTTTAGGGATGCAACCCCAAACTCCAGTAGACATCGCAATCCAGAAGACTAGGGGAAAGAGTCCAACCACGTACATGTTTATGAGGAAAAGGCAGGAACTCTTTGAATAAGTGCAAGACAGTTTGCAAAGGGCAAGCAAACGTATTGTGAAATATACTAATCAAAAGAGGAGACCTTTGAAGTTTGACGTCGATGATAAGGTGCTATTGAAGTTGACTCCACAGATATGGAAAAAGATTGTTAGGAAAAATTAGCACCTTGGATTAGTGCCAAGGTATGATGGGTCGTTTGAGGTGATAGGGAAAGTGTGCACTGTTGCGTATAGGCTAAAACTACTAGAAAGGTTGAAACTTCATCCCACATTCCATGTTAGTTATCTAAAGCCTTTTCATGAAGATCTTGAGGATTTTGAAAGGGATAAATCACCGAGGGCTCTACCTATGATTTAGAAGCAATTTGAGCGGGGAATCATGAAGATTTTTTTAACCATAGGAGACTTGGTCAGCACAAAAAAAATCAACAAATATAATTTCTTATGAAATGGGCAAATGGTCAGGAGGTTTCATGGGAGAAAGATACTAACTTTTGGCAATTTGAAGACTTGGTACAGGACTATCTTAGGATTGATCTGACTAGGGTGTCGGCTCCTTCTACTGGGGGAGGTTTGTCACATCCTTAGGCACAAGGCCCTACCAACAAGTCGCTTCTATCCTTAAGCACAAGGCCCTACCAACAAGTCGCTTCTAGGTAGTGGCATCACGTGGATGTAGAGGTAGTATGTGTGAGCAGTGCAGATTTCGGTAGCAAGTATAACGGGTGCGTGCGAACAACGGGTTCATGCTTCGCACCATGCTGGACTATAGATGATGGGCTATTTAAAACATCTTGAGTTGCACATGAGAGCTAGCAGCTTGGAAAATCGGTTTGGGCAGTTTGGTTTTTTAGATGGCAATTACGAGGCAGTTGGCTGTCTTTGAAAGGGGCTATCTAAAGGGAGTTAATTTTTCAAGGGACAATTTTATTTGTAACTTCTATTATATATGTGTGTATTACATAAAGCCAAAAATATATGTAGCAGGTAGATCAAATTGTGCATAGCACACACACATTGTTCGTGTATTCCTTTGTTGATAAATTAATAAAGGTTGGGTTGGTTCCTGTAAATTGTTTGTGTTGTGTTTGATTATTAGCTTATGTTCCTGATTACTGAAATTAGTAAGAATTTTGGGGAAAATCTCTGGGTGTGCGAAACACTTGGACTTTAAGCAAACATAAGTGACTTGGAAGAAATGCTGAGTCTAGTAACGAGACTAAGCTGTCACGCTAGGATTAAGATTGCGATGAAAATTTTATTCCCTTGACAGATAATATGAATCAATAAATTAATGATATGGAGAAATAAAAAGTCTTAGAACAAAACTTCTTAATACAAGAAAATTACTGAATGGTATGAAGTAGCCATGAACCTAATGGTTCCTTTTTGGGTTGAAAGTTAATGAGCTTAAACTAGTGATTAACTAACATAAATTCAATAATTAAATAAATCCCTAAACAACGTTTAATATGTTTGAAAAAATTCAAATTCAAAATAATTATTCAAAAATAAATAAATAAATAAAATAGAACAAAAAAAAAGTCTTCATGTTAAAATTCCTCCATATAACTTGAATTTCTAATTTTTATATATTCTTGGCAGATTTGAATCTTGATTTTAAACATGTCATTCTCTCTCATCTAGATAAATTACTAATCATATAATATATGGTTGAAAAGTTTAAGTTGTCTAGTTTTCAAACCAACTTTAATCATAGCAAAATTTTATTGGTAGCTCCAAATATGTCTCAAACAGTACACAAAGGTCTAGTTTGACATATTTAACAATATTTATCTACTAGCTTTTAACATCTGAAATATTATGTCTCTGAACTCCATTTGATCTGAAAATTACCACAATATATTTTCATATGTCTAATAAAATTTTAGTTTTATCCAATGTTTGATTTGAAAAACATGTTCAATCTTGCACTAGTCAGTAGGTATTTTAAGACTAAATTTGGATCTAACTTAGTTTATATAATAAATTTAGTAAACTCATAAAATCAAATCAAGTTTATTAATTTTGCACGAGTTAAATCTGATTTTAATGGTTTTTTAGTTTTTTATCTAATTTTGAATATTAAATACATATTAATTTATAAAATTATATATATATATATATATTGACTTGTAAAATTATTTTAATTTTAACAATAATGATGCCTTGCGCTAGTTCTATTAAATAACTTTAAATAATAATGCAACTACAAACACTATTTTGAATTATTATTATTATTATTATTATTAATTAAGGAAAAACTAAAAGTGTTGAGTCACTACCCTGTGCACGTGAATTATTTAACTAGGGATTTTAATACTATAGTGAGAATTGTGCCCTTAAATGTGTAGGATGGGAAGTGGTTAGGGAGCATAGTAATAAAACTCCGTCTTGTGGGTTAACTCGAACCTAGTCAACTTGAGTTTTAGCCGGATTTAACTCTGGTAAAAACTGGAATTGTATTTGACCTGGATGAGTCTGGTTGACCCTGCGGAACAGGAAGAGACCTGGCATGTATTTTTTTAATTAACAAAACGATCTTGTTTGGTTTTAGGTCCTGACCCTTTCCTCTTCTTCTCATGTTCCTCCTTTCTTCTTCCCAATTCCTTCCAACTAGCAATCAAAGAAAAGATCGATTTACTTGGGAAAATCTTAGTAACCAGAGCCACAAAAAGGGGGTCATTGACTTTCTTCTCCCTTATTCTTCATGATAGGAATTTTTTTTGTTGCACTTGTTAGATTTCCAAGCATATAAACCACAAATTTATCAGCCCTTGTCAAGATCGTAGGCACCATTTGTTTGATGTGGTGCCTTTAATCAATTGTTCTTTTTTTTTTTTTGAATAATGGCAATAGGCACACTTTTGACTATGAGGATTGATCATATGACAGCCTGCATTATCACATATAGGTGTCGAGGAACTTTTTCTGGCAATGAAAAGTTTGAGGGTTTACTGTCTGCATAACCTTTTAGAAATTGTCTGCATCAAAATCCTTACAGTACACATGATCGTGGGTATATTGTGTTTTTACTGGTTGATGTGTTTTTTGCTAACTAGTTAATTATGTAGATGAATTTCTAGGCCAAATTGAGAAGAGGATATTGTTTTATATAGTAGAACTTTTGGTTAATATATCTCTAAGTTACCAATATACATATATATATAGTAGAACTTTGGGTCAATGGATATCTAAGTTTTATATATATATAGTTGAGCTATTGTTTCTCAAGGAAACAAATGAAAGAGAGGATGTATTGCATTTGTTCATTAACAAAAACAGTATGCTTTTCTTCAGGTATGACAGTGACAGCAGGAACAGCAGATCCAAGTTGATGTATAAAAGTTTTCAAAGGCAAATGTATTTGTATGCATCATGTTATAGGACTATGTATTTGTATGCTTCATGCTATAGTACAATGTACAAATAAATCATGTTGTAGTACTATGTATTTGTATGCTTGATCTTACACTAAAAAATACTGGTATTATGAACACCACTTTTGTGTGCTTCCAATTGTAATGCTTCAATGTTGTAGCACTGCATGTTGTTCTTCAAATTTTTTTGTTGGTAAAGTGAATTAGTGAAAGAGATTTACATGATTTATTTTTCTTGATCCTGAGAGGATATTACAGTGATTTATAGTAAATTATTTATTTATTTTTATATTTTCAAGTTATTCCATGTAATCTAAAATTTTGATTTTTTTTATTAAATCAGTTTTTAGATTGGGTTTAATAACTATATTTATATTTAGAGAAGGGTGTTTTCAGTTTTTTATTTTCTTTTATTTCGGTTCGTGGAAACGTGGATCAATCTCTGCCAAGTTTATTTTCGCTCTTGTCCTCTCCTTCTTTTCACCGGAGAGAGCGCGCTCGGAGAGAACAAATCTGCAGAGAAGATGAAAGAAATCACAGAACAGACAGACGATATAGGAGAGGAGTGAGGCGCTTCTGCGGCATGGACTGGCTTAGCGAGAGATGGTTTTGTCGGCGATGATTTGAAGAGCTAAGCCTTTATTTTTCGCTCTCTGTCCTCTCCAATCTTTGTTTATTATCAGTTTCTTTTATCTGAAAACCCCCAATTACTATGATTTCTTTGTGATTTGCTCCTGTTTTGATTGCTTTCGAGGTTTTAGATGAATGGGTTAGCCCAGGTTTACTTAAAAAATAACTGGACTGTTCAGGACAAGTACTTGGTCTGTGGTTTTTCTAGGGGCTTCCACTCTTGATGGGTTGGGAGTTTTGTCATGTCTGCTCTGTATTCCTGTGGCTGCAGCTATGTTTTTTTATTATTATTAGGATACATGGTTTTGGTTGATTTTTCATTTATTCAGAGAGGGTTGCGTTGATTTTGTTTGGTTTTTTGGCAGTTCTGGGGTTGTGTACGTGGATGGGACTGTTTTATATTAGTGAGATTACTTTTGTCAATACCAGTTAAATAATATTTTAAGAATTAATAAATATACATAAATATTTTAAGAATCAATAAATATGCATAATTAAAAATAATGACAGGGTAAATTTTTTTAATGAATATGACAATGATAAATTTTAAAAGAAACAATATTGAGTGTAATATTATAAATTATAATATAATTTTTCTGGATGAAATTAATTTTAATAGAATGATAATAATATTTATTTATTATTAAATCATAATAAAATATTTATTTGATGTTTGTTTGATAAACCGGGGTGTTTGGGTCAGCTAGCACGCATCATGATTAATCTTCGAACCCACTAAATACATTGCAATCCCAATAGACAGGTAAGGTATTGTGGTGATGATAGACATGTATATAAAAAGTCGAACTCGTGTTCTAGTGGAAAAGAATAAGTCTCTCTCATGATCACTGGGCCACAACTTGAAGTGCATGTGATTTTATTATGATACAAAGAAGTTGTGTTGTTGTGTTGTGTATGCTGCTATGATTTTAAGTATATGAAAGATAGATATATAAAGAATACAATTAACAGTGGGCCACAACTTGAAGTGCATATGATTTTATTATGATACAAAGAAGTGGTGTTGTTGTGTTGTGTATGTTGCTATGATTTTAAGTATATGAAAGATAGATATATAAAGAATACAATTAACATACAATTAGACTTTCAATAACGCTTACATTATTTATTATTATTATTCAGTATATAGAAGATCATCGATGGTTAATGTATGTCAGTATTTTTTCGAGAGTTAAGGTATTGTTCACTTCTCTATTATATTATTTATTATTGTTTTTTATAGATAGAATCATCGGAAGACTAAAAAGTAGTCGATAATAGTTGGTGGGTTTCTAAAAATTTTGGATTAAATGAAAATTTTCAATTAGACTTTACAGATAAATACACTGACGAAAAAATTAAAAAATTTAATATTTAACTTACTATTGATAAAGTTATCTATGATACATGGTGGGTTTCTAAAAATTCTAAATTAAATTAAAATTTTCAATTATACTTGATAAACAGAAACACGGAGTACAATTAAAATACTAATTTTTATTTTTTTACAGTAAAGACATCAGTAACGATTAGCGTGTTTCTGAAAAAAATTTATTAAATTAAAAACTTAGCGTGTTTCTAAAAAAAATTTATTAAATTAAAAATTTCAATTAGACTTGACAAGCAGAAACGTTGATCAAACAACTAATATGTTAATTTTTAATTTTCTAATAATAAAAATGTCAGTGATACTTGGTGTATTTTTGAATTTTTTTATTAAATTTTAAATTTCAATTAGACTTAAAAACAAAACCACCAATTAAAAAAATTAAAAAATTAATATTTAATTAACTATCGATAAAAATATCAATTAAAAAACTCTAAATTAAAATATCAAAATCTCTAAAATCATAATAAACAAATATATCTCTTCTTTTCACTTCCTTTGGAGTTTCTTCTCTTCTCCTCCCAAATCTTCATATTTCTTTCTCTTCTCTCTCTCCCTCTCTTTTCAACCCATTCTCTTCTCTTCTCTTCTCTTCTACATGCAAGAATGTTTTTTTTCTTTTTCTTCTTCTTTTCTCTTGTTATTTAATTATTTGTTTGGATTTTTCATTTTTTCCCGGGCTGTGGAAAACTCAAAATTAAGATAAGATTCTTCTTGTTTTTTTTTTGCATTTTTATATGTTTTTGTTATTAATAATTGTATAAATGTTAATGAGAATTTTTTGTTTTTATTTTATTTTTTTTGCTATAAATATTTTTTTATACATGTTGATGGCAATTTGTTATTATTTTTAAAATTTTTCTATTATAAATTATTCCATAAATATTGGTGGAAATTTTTTATTTTCTTAAATGTTTTTTGTTATTAATAGTTGTATAAATGTTACTGGAAGTTTTTTACTTTTTTTCGTTTATATTTTCTACTTTTTGATAATTGTCTATAGATTGTAGGATTTTTTTTAAAAACTTTTTTTGTTATTTAATGATTGTACATAGCTTGTTGGTTTTTTTTTAATTTTTCATTAACTTTAATGATTGTATAAAAGTTGTTGGAATTGTTTTAGTTTTTATTTTTTATTTTTATGTTCTTTAATGATTGTATATTGTTGGAATTTTTAATTTTTTTAATTTTTTATTATTAATATGGTTAGCTAATTGATTTCTCAGTGTTAACAAACTATTTTTAATTTCTTGAAAAATAAAAAATAAACAAAAATAGTAGTCATTATAAATTAAAAAATAAAAATAGGTAGGATAAATGGATAGTTTTTAATGTGAAATATTATACTACAAATCATTTAACATGTTTTTATTAATCTCTTATGATCATTTCGCAAATAATCATAGCAAAGTTAATTGAAAGTTTGGTTAAATTAACATAATTGAAATTATTTTATTGACATGGATTGAAATAAAATAAATTGGTTTGTGGCAATCCAATTTAAATTGTTGTGTATTTGTAAGTTTAAAAATTTTAGGTAATTTTTTATATAAGGAAAGTGCTGCTGAGTTTTCTTTTAAATATAAATGGTTTATAGTATTTTAATCCTTTAATTTGTGTAGATATCTATAAAAAATTCAATAACATGTTGTACAAATATGATTATTGCTAGTACTTCTAACAAGTAGCGTTTCTGATGATCATGAGTCATTAGGTGTTGCCAAGAACAAGCACCTGAGACACAAACAACCACACTCAACACGGGCTCATTAAGTGCTATCCCATCACTTTGAGAGGGGGTTTGTACATAGTAGCATCTATTTACCTGGAAGCACCAAGTTTAGTAGAAGAATGATCTTTTAATGTAAGTTTGTTTTTCCTTTATAGTAACATATTAATAACTTTTTTAAAAATGAACTTTCAATATAAATTTATTTTTCCTTTATAGTGTCATATTAATAATTTTTTTAAAAAATAATTTCAAGCAATATCATCAATTTTAGGTCTCCATACATTAAGGATTCCAGAACCAAAACATCGGCAATGAAATCATCGATGAAAATTTTATTATTTTAATAGAATCAAGTTTCCAAACATCCTAAATAGAAACCCATGATTGATGCATGGTTTAAAAGGTTTAAAGTTGGTATTAACTTTAATATTTTTTTATTGTATTAATTCAGTTAGTTTATTAATATTAATGAAAATTTTCTTATAAAAATTATAACTATAAGGAAAAAATTGAATGAGATAGAGTTGACAACACTATTATAATAAGAATTTGGGAGAATCACGTTGCGACTAGATAAGATTGAGATCAAGATAATTTTTTAAATCTTTTTATTCAATTTTATTATTCATTTACTAACAAATAATTTATTTATATAATATATGTTGCATTCTTTTTAGTACAAGGTGCAAAAAAAGCCAAAAAATATACGAAATAAAAAGAGCTACTAGGCTGGAATGAGATTACAACTTGGAATGATTTGTGCAACAATCACACTTTATGGATGATAAGATTATTTTTACTTACATCTATTTATTTTTTTTATAAATATATTTAACTAAGAATAGTTTTTTATTGTAGGCTACGATTCTTGGACGCGAACCTAACCCAATGAAGCTTTATGTGGAAACGCACGTGCAAATTGATAATTGCCAAAAAAAAGTGTAAGAAATCATGGATAACTAAGATCAACACTTTATGGTGTGTTGTTTTTAACAATTTTTTTGTCAAGTTTTTTTTTAATTTGCTAACTTTTTTTTTCCAAGATACATATAACACTTGGTTGATGGAGAGATACGGTGATGATCTTCAATCTATCCGAATCTCAATTTGGGTTTATAGTTGGAGGCAATATTATTTGGTGGAACCAATAAAAATATGATGTGCTGTCTTTCTAACATTACAGTCGAGAACTTGTGAATTTCTGTAATTTTTTAATTATTGGATGCTTGCAATCAATTCTAAGTGTTAAGACTTCAGAGTTCGAGGCTATTTTAGTTCAACAAGTTCAAGCTTGGATGATCCATTTTGTTGTTGATTATGAACAACTGAGTAGTGAGATGACTAAACTTTATCGATTGGTAATGAAGATGAGATCATATATGGATGATACATATGTTCCTTCTTATTCACCCCACGATGTAGGCAAAGACCCACTTATTTCTCGTCCTGCAATGCCTTTATTCTAAATTAATAATATTTGAACTTATAAATGTTTAAATTTGTAATAAGTATTTGAATTTTATATTAATTTAATTTTTAATTACTTACTATTTATGTTTAATAGATTTTTTATAAAAATATATTTTTAAATTATTATTGACGGGGTTATTAATAGACTTAGTCCATTGGTTAATTACAAAGAGTTAGAATAAAATTACTGTAAATATCACTATTATAGTTTACTCACCGATAAAATAATAGATGATTTAATTGATGATTATATATCAAATTTACTAATGAATAAAAACAATTATTAATGGAATGAGAAACAATTTTTTTTTTATAGTGTGATATTATATTTAGCAATAAAAATACTAATAAAATAAAGCAATTAATTTTTTTTTATGGGTTTTGCCCGTTAGCAAGTACATCAAAAAATTATCACAGATAAACCAAAAAATCAATGAATTATTTATGTTCATGACCTCATTATTAAGTTTAATACTAACAAATTATAAATATAAATATTGACACAAAATTTCGTATCGAATCTGAAAACGTGGTAGTGTTTTCTTATAATTTGAACCGTGGCGTGCAGGGTAAACCACTAACTTGGTGAGTCTTGAGCTTTTTGTTTTTCTACAAAATCGAAAACAAAGCAACAAACGGACATGAACAACCCTAGAACTATCTGGAAACAAAACGCATGGCTCTACCATTTGTCTATTTCCCTTTAATTTATTGCAGCTAAGAATTGAACTGGCTTGATTGAGGAAATGTAAATCCCCCATCTACAACCAAATTATGTCCAGTTACAAACTCAGAATCCTCAGAAGCAAGAAACAACACAGCATTAGCCACATGCTTCAGCTTCAACACCCCTTTCAAACACGAAGTCGACTCAAAAGTCTTCTCCACCTCCTCGACTCCCATGCCGAAGGCCTTACATATTAGAGGCGTCGCCACTGCCCCTGGTGACACACAATTCACTCGTATTCCATGCTCGCCCAACTGATAACTGGCACACTTTACCAGCCCCAGTACCGCACACTTGGACATGACATAATCTGTATGAATGCTTCCACCAGTAGTGGCTGCGACGCTGGCTGTGCAAATGATGCTACCCTTTCTACCTCCTTCCACCATAGCACGCGCCGCATGCTTTACACTTGCAGCCACACCACGCACATTTACTGCAAAAAGTTTCTCGTACATGTCCAGGTCGAAGTCGACAACGGTCTGTTTATCGAAGCTGAGGGTTCCAGCGTTGCAAAACATGATGTCAAGGTGACCATAAAGCGCAACAGTGGATTCCACCAGGGATTTCACTTGCGTCTCATCGATTACGTCGCAGTGGATAAAGGTGGAACGATCAGAACCAATTGATTCGGCAAGTTTTTTACCTCTTTCATCTTGGACATCGGCGATCACGACTGCGCGTGCACCGTTTTCAGCAAAAAGAAGCGCAGTGGCCTCGCCAATGCCACTAGCGCCACCTGTGACTATGGCTACCTTGTCTTGAACTTTATTCTGGCATGCCATTTTAGCTGGAAATTAAGGGTTTGTGAGTTGATTTATATGGAAACGGAATGTCCATAATTATCATCAAACAATTAAACAGCATGGCTTTTTACGCTTTGGACTGTGCATTTTTCTGCAGATCCTTAAATGGCAGTATTTTACATCGTGTTTTTTAAAATATTTTTTATATTAAAATATATTAAAAAATATTTTAAAAAAATTAATATATTGAAATAATTTAAAATATATAAAAAAAATTAATTTTTAACTAAAAAAATTTAATTTTTTTAAAAACATGGTGTAAAACCACCTTTCCAAACATTTTTTTGTCTTATTCATTGTTTTTATGGTTGGTGATATAGTTATTATTGTATTTTATTTAAAAATGTGTGAAAATAATTCATTAAAAAAATAAAAATTAATATTAATTTAAAATAAAAATATTTAAAATTCTTTAAAAACACTTTTAAAATAAAAAAATAAATATTTTTAGAATTACATATAAGTTATTTGCATAAAACAATTATGGGTAAATATATCCCACTTCACATTAGACAGTATTTGTTTTTAACTTATGGCAGTACGACCAATCGATTTTTTTGGGTTGTTGTATCATCAAAATTAATTATTCTACTTCACGAATGTTTTACTTCTACCAGGTGATAGATCCCTAATATACAATAAATAAATAAACTAATTACAATGTTACATTTTTTTATATATAAAGTAACAATTTATTTAAATCTTCTAAAAACATTTAGAAGAATCTTTTTTTTTCCTTACAAGTTACCTATAAAACAATATTTTGAATCTTGTCATTGAATAAATGTAACATTAATCCTTAAAAATAGCAAAATTTAATAATAAGATTTTTCTAAAATATTTTAAGTGATTAGCTATAAAAGTATTTTCAAATGAAATATTATTTTTCCACTAAATTAAGAGAGTTATAATTAAGCGGATGTTTCCCGTTCAGAAAATAGTTTATTCTAAGACAGTTATGATTTAATATATATTTGAATTATATATATATATATTAAATGAAAATAATATATATATATATATATATATATATATATTCATTATTTATTGGTAAAGTAATTATAAAAAAACACTTTAATTCATTTGTAATTCTATTTAAATTAAATTATTAACTCTATTTTTTATGAATCATGAATTTTATTTATTTATTTTATATTTATATTAATATTTTACTTAAAAATAGATTAAAAATTCCATCAATTACGATGTTTATTATAAAAATTTGCAGAGCCTTGACAAATGATTCTGAACACTTGTGGACAAAACCTAAAAACGAAAGAAATTAGATATTAAATGTTTCAAAAGTCATGACGTTGTCAGCTGTTTTTTAGAATCTTTAAATGTGTAGCTGTCGGCACGGTAGAAGCCATGCGTGATATGGGTGCCGAAATAACGGGCCATGTCCTTTCAATTTTAAATAGATTTGACGTTCTACCAACTTTACAGTACTATTTATTTCTCCTCCACGTAGACTTGCTCCCCATGCCGTCTGGGCTGACGCCACTTTTACAGTAAAGTAGATAAATAAAACGAAGAATACTAAGTTCCAGTTCCTGAAAATAGTTTTTTATTTAATGAATTTTAAAAAAATAAATTATTCTTTAATATTTAATAATATAATAAAAAATAAATTTAAAAATATTTTTTAGTATTTAGTTATTTCATGAAAAATAAGTTAAAAAATAACTTATTAATATTTTATTTTTTTCAAGTTTATTAAAATAATAAGGAATAAATTTTACCAATTAAAACGTTAAATGAGAATGAAATTGAAAAAAATATAATTTTATAAATTATCTTAAATAAAAAAAAATAGAGATTAAATCTAAAAAATAAAAGATGAAGAAATTAAAATATTAATAGTAACATTTTATAGACTATTTCAAATAAAATAAGTAACAATAAAAAGAATGAAGATCAAATTTAATACATAAAAATTTTTAATTAAAAATAATTATAAAAATAAGAACTAAAATTAATATAAAAATTATATTTTAAGATATGAAATTAAATAATAAATATTCAAAACAAAATATATATAGCAATCAAAAGTTTTAAAATCAAATTTAATATAATCAGCAAATAATATGATATTTTAAAATTTTTTATAATTTCAAAAAAGTATTTTCTGCCTAAATTTTTTAGAAAAATATTTTCCTAGAAATCAAGATAAATTTTCATTTAATTGGAAAGTTTTTTCAGTTGAACAACTTTTTAAATATCAAACAAACATAAAAAAAATTTAAAAATTATTTCTTGAAAATTATTTTTAAAAAAATAAGTTTGGCCTAAACATACCGTTTTGTTCATTTGAACTTCTTTTTCAATTTTGTTTTTAAAGACCAAGAGCCACAAGATAAAACAATATTTTTGATAGAGTATTATAAGATTGGTTGAAAATAATTTAATTTTTTAATTTTTTATTATATCATGTAAATATTTTATTATTATTAAAAGTTAATTTTTAAAAAAATTGTCATTTCATACTTTTTTTTAGTTATTATCAAATTGACAAAGTAATTTAGTATTTTAATAAATATAAAAAATCAAATTTAATACATAAAATTTTTTAATTAAAAATAATTATAAAAATAAAAATTAAAATTAATATAAAAATTATATTTTAAGATATGAAATTAAATAATAAATATTCAAAACAAAATATATATAGCAATCAAAAGTTTTAAGATCAAATTTAATATAATCAGCAAATAATATGATATTTTAAAATTTTTTATAATTTCAAAAAAGTATTTTCTGCCTAAATTTTTTAGAAAAATATTTTCCTAGAAATCAAGCTAAATTTTCATTTAATTGAAAAGTTTTTTCAGTTGAACAACTTTTTTAATATCAAACAAACACAAAAAAAATTTAAAAATAATTTCTTGAAAATCATTTTTTTAAAAATAAGTTTGGCCTAAACATACCGTTTTGTTCATTTGAATTTCTTTTTCAATTTTTTTTTAAAGACCAAGAGCCACAAGATAAAACAATATTTTTGATAGAGTATTATAAGATTGGTTGAAAATAATTTAATATTTTAATTTTTTATTATATCATGTAAATACTTTATTATTATTAAAAGTTAATTTTAAAAAAAATTGTCATTTCATACTTTTTTTAGTTATTATCAAATTGAAAAAGTAATTTAGTATTTTAATAAATATAAATATTATTTAAAAATAAAAAAATTGTTAATACATGTGGAATTGTTCTGGCTTCAAACACTACTTTTAATCTCAATGTTACAAGCATACGGGCATCGTCTTTTAATGCTATAATGAATGTACATGGCAATTCAATGATTAAGCTCTGATGAACTTCTCATTCCTCTTTTCCTTTTTTTTTTTACTAAAATATAAAAATATTTTTTTATTTATTTAATTTATATAATTTAATTTTTATTATTTTAATTGCTATTTATTTTATCTTTTTTATTAATATTTTTCTTCATATTCTTGTTTTATTATTTGGTTTCATTTAATTTTTATATCAAATTTAATCTTTATTATTTTAACTACTATTTTTTTTTCTTTTTATTATTTTTCTAACTGAATCTTATTTTCATTCCTAACCCTCAACATCTAATTTTGAATTATTTTTGTATTAAATTTAGTCTCTATTGTTTTAATTATTATTTCATTTATTTTGAATTTTTTTTAATATGTTTTTTTTATAATTTTATCCCTTAATATTTTATTAATTTATAAATTTTATTTGTTATTTTTAAGATTACTTTTTATGAAACTAGTCTCGGACTCATTTCTCTCTTGGGTTATTTTATTAAAAAAAATTAATTTTTTTCAACTTCATCCCTTAATATTCGAATTATTAGAAATTCATCTTCATGTTTTTTTTTTAAAAAAATTATTTATTAGGTTATCTCAATCATATACTCATGGTTATAGGATTAACAGTTTAATCCATATTGACTAAATGTTTTCTTTGTTTTTTATTTTTTTTTTATTTTCAATTTTATCATTCAATATTGAATTGTTTGATAATTAAATTTTATAATTTTATTTAATTTTCTTTTAATTGGATAACCCCGGTGTCATAATTAGATCATAGATTTAAAATACTAACCTGCATCGGCTTGGATTGTTTTTTTGTTAATCTTTTTATGTTGCTAATTTTTTTGTTAATTTCTTTATTATTATTGTATTTTTTTATTCATATTATTTAATTAATCAAACTTATTAAACACAGTGCAATCAATATAATAAGTCTTGGATTTTTTATTTAATTTGATCGGACATTATTTTTTATTTATTTTATATATTTATACACTATAATTATTTTTCTGTAATGTATAAAATTAAACAATCACTTTACTAAGGTAGTAATTAATATAATATCATTGTTTGAATTTTGTACCCACTATTTTTTATTTATTTTTTAAAATAAATTATGGAGTATTTAGTATAAATAAGAAAGGAAGTGGTTGGATAAAAAAAATGTTAGCTATAAATCAGATAGTTGGACTTTACTATAAAGGAGAATACTGTTAGAGCATACCACCATGGAAAGATGAACAAATTATTTGGGACATGGAAAATATAATATAATTCTTTTGGATAAAAAGTATAGCATAAATTTTATTTCAATTAAAGCATATTTTTATACCAATTTTTTTTTAGATTTAAGAAATTCTAAAATGATTAATTCAACTTAGAATAAATAGCAGTTACTATTATGTTTTGTTTGGCTATGTACTTTGGAAGGATAAAAGTTTTTATTTTTATCAAATCTTTTGTTATGTTTTGAATGAATTTCACAAATTGATTTAAATTATTTTTAAATTTTAACTAAAAAAATCATAAAGTTTTTCAGTGAGAAATGACTTTTAAAATTTTAAATTTTTTGTACAAAATTGAATTAAAACTTTGATCTAATCAAGGAATTAAAGTTCTTAACAAAAGAATTAAAGTGTTTAACTCTAACTTATAACAATTATTTTATCAGGCATGCTTTTAACTTAAAATTATCTTAACTTATTTTTTTTTTATCTTAGATTATAAAAATAGTTTTTTTAAATAACACAAATTTGTCCCCAAAAAGACTTTTAACCATACCATTTCTCTTCGTACCGCTCGAAAAGTTCGAAAAACAAAAGG